GGGGGGGACACCCCAGTGCCGGCCCCGCTGATGTCCCCCCACCGTGTTGGGGTGGGGGGTCCCTGTCACCCGGCCCCCCTGACCCCCCCCGTGCCCACAGAGTTCGGCTGCGCTGTGGGGGGGGTTGGGGGGCCGGTCCCTCCAGCGCGTGGCCGCCGTCGCCTTCCCCACCCCCGAGGCCCTGGAGCGCTGGGAGCGGGCCCAGGAGGAGGCGGCTCTGCGGGACCACCGGCGGATCGGGAGGGTGAGCCCCGCTGGGCTGGGGGCCGGGGGGGTCGCTCACAGTGCCAGGAACCCCCTGGTAACACCGCCCCCACCCCTGCACCCACAGGAGCAGGAGCTCTTCTTCTTCCACAAGTTCAGCCCCGGCAGCTGCTTCTTCCTGCCCCGCGGCGCCCACGTCTACAACGCCCTGGTGGAGTTTATCCGGGTGTGGACCCCCCTCCAGCCCCCCCTGACCCCCATCATCTCCCTGTCCCCACATCACCCAGACCCCACTGCACCCTATGGCCATTGCACCTGGCACTGCTGTGCCCCCCTCCCCAGCACCCAGACCCTGTCTGTGCCCCCCACATCACCCAGACCCCACAGCCCCCCTCTGCTCCCCATCCCTCACCCACAGTTGCCCCCCAGTTCCCTGCTGTGCCCCTGTGGCTGCAGCCCCCCCAACCGATGCCAGGGGGCTGAGCTGACATTTCTCCTCCATCCCCCTCTGTCCCTGTCCCCGCAGAGTGAGTACCAGGCGAGGGGCTTCAGCGAGGTGGTGACCCCCAACCTGTTCAGCCCCCGGCTCTGGGAGCTCTCGGGGCACTGGCAGCACTACAGCCCCCACATCTTCTCCGTCCCCGCCGCCCCCGAGACCCTCTCCCTCAAACCCATGAACTGCCCGGCCCACTGGTGAGTGGGGGGGGTCCCGGGGTGCCCCAGGGGGGCTCCTGGGGGCTCTGCCCGTCTGTCTGTCCGTCCCCAGCCTGATGTTCGCCCACCGGCCGCGCTCCTGGCGGGAGCTGCCCCTGCGCCTGGCGGATTTCGGGGTCCTGCACCGCAACGAGCCCCCCGGGACCCTGACGGGGCTCACGCGGGTCCGGCGCTTCCAGCAGGACGATGCCCACATTTTCTGCACCCTGGAGCAGGTGGGTGTGTCCCCCCTGGCCCCTCCCTGACCCCCAAAATGCATCACACGCCCCCCCTGACACCGCTTTCCCAGCTGGAGAGCGAGATCGATTCCTCCCTGGATTTCATCCGGACCGTCTACGCCGTCCTGGGCTTCTCCTTCCGCCTGGCCCTGGCAACGCGTCCCGAGGGGTTCCTGGGGGACCCCGACACTTGGGATCGCGCTGAGCAGGTGGGACGATGCCCCCCCTGTGTCGTGTCCCCCCTGCGCTGTCCCCTCCTGACCCCCCCAATCCCTCCCTGCAGCAGCTGGAGCGGAGCCTGCGGAATTTCGGGCAGCCTTGGGAGCTGAGTCCGGGAGACGGCGCCTTTTATGGGCCCAAGGTGAGGGATTTTGGGGAGGGGGGGGTCCCCAAAGGAGGCAGACGGGATCCTTTGGGAACCTCCCACCCCTCTTATTCCCGACAGATCGATATCCGGATCCGGGATGCGCTGGGGAGGCACCATCAGTGTGGCACCATCCAGCTGGATTTCCAGATGCCGGAGAGATTCGAGCTGGAATATGCCAGGTATTGGAGTGGGGAGCAGGATTGGGCTGGGAGGGCAGAATTGGGGGTTTGGAGGGGGCAGGATTGGGCTGGGTTCAGGATTGAGGTGGGGGGGATCAGGGTTGGGCTTGGGGGGGGTCAGGGTTGAGGTGTGGGGATCAGGATTGGGGCTGGGGGAGCAGGATCGGGGCTGAGAAGTGTCTGAATTGGGATGGAGAGGGAAGAATTGAGGATTTGGAGTGGATCAGGATTGGTGGGGGGATCAGGATTGATGGGGGGAGCAGGATTGGGGCTGAGGAGTGTCAGGGTTGGGATAGGAAGGGGAGAATGGGGGATTAAGGGAGGTGGGGATTGGGGCTGGGGAGGGTCAGGATTTGGGTGGCGGGTCAGGACTGAGGCTGGATGGGGCAGAAATGGGGTGGGGGTGTGTCGGGATTGGGCTGGGGGGTGGTGGTGAGGCCCCCCTGCCCCTCTGACCCCCTGTTCCCCCCAGCCCGAGCGGGGGTCCGGCGCGGCCGGTGCTGATCCATCGGGCCGTGCTGGGCTCCGTGGAGCGGATGGTGGCTGTGCTGGCCGAGAGCTGCGGGGGGAAATGGTGAGGGGGAGCCCCAAAAACACCTCCTGCCTCACCCCCCAACCCCTGGGACAGCCCCCCATCCCCGGGACAGCCTCCAACCCCTGGCACGCACTTAATCCTAAGGGCACCCCCAGTCCCTGGGAGACCCCCGTCCTGGAGACCCCCCCCCCAGTCCTCAGGGCCCCCTCATGTTCAGCATCACCCCTGTCCCAGGGTGCCCCACTTGGGACAGGCACCCCCCAATTTTGGGGACACTCAATCCCCAGGACACCTCCCTAATCCCTGGGACATCCCAATCCTTGGGGCACCCCCAGCCTGGGGGCACCTGTGCCCCCTGAGGACCCCCCCATGACCCCTGGTGCCCCCCAGGCCGCTCTGGCTGTCCCCACTGCAGGCCATGGTCATCCCACAGACCCCTGAGGTCGAGGACTACGCCCGGGAGGTGAGTGTGTGACCCCCTGTGCCCCCCTGGGACCCCTGGCATGTCTCCCCCATCCCCCTGTAACCCCCTCAGTGTCTCCCCCATATCCTCTCATCCCATCCTTCCGTGTCCCCCCACCCCTTGTTGCCCTCCCGTGCCCCCCACGCCCCCACTGATGCTGGGGGGGGCAGGTGCAGGCAGTGCTGAGGAGGGGGGGCCTCCTGGCCGACCTGGACGGGGACCCGGGGGCCACCCTGGCCCGCAAGATCCGCCGGGCCCAGCTCGCCCACTACAACTTCCAGCTGGGTAAGGGGGGGCACGCGGCCCACAGACCCCTGGGACACCCCCAGGACCCCTCCAGGGAGCCCCCCGGGACTGGCTGTGCTGAGTCACCCACCCCCCTCCACACCCCGGGTGCTGCTTGTGGGGGGAGGCGCTGGGACCCCCACCTTGGGAATTCCCTGGGATCCCTCTGGGAGACCTCCCTGGGATCCCAAGAGCTTCCTCCTCCTTTGGGAATTCACTGACACCCCCCTCCTTGGGACCCCCCTGAAATCCTCTCGGGAACTCCCCAGGACCCCCTGAGACCCCCACCCCTTTTGGGCACCCCTGGGACCCCCTGGGACTGTTCTAGGACCACCCCCCGAGATCCTCTCAGGCGCTCCCCAAGACTGTTTTAGGGACCCCCCAGTTCCCCCTGGGACTGTTCTAGGACCCCCCTGCCCCGAGACCCTCCTGAGCCCCTCTCCTCCTTTGGGATCCCCCCTAGGGCACCCCCCAGGACTATTCGGGCAACCCCCCCGGGACCCTCCTGAGCCCCCCCCATCCCTTGGGACTCCCCCCAGGCCCCCTGACCCCGCAGGGTGGTGGGTGCTGTGGGGGTGTGTGTGTGCAGGGTGAGGGGGGTGCGGAGCCGCCCGTGCCCCCCTCCCGACGGCGGTGCCCCGGCAGTGGTGGGTCGGCGGGAGCGGGAGCGCGGCACCGTCAGCGTCCGGACCCGGGACAACCGGCAGCTGGGGGAGCTGGAGCTGCCGCGGGTGCTGCGGCGGCTGCGGGAGCTGCGGGACGGCCGCGTCCCCGACGCCGAGCAGCGCTTCTGACCCCCCCACCCCCGCCCCGGGGGTCCCCGGGACCCCCCCCCCTCACTCAATAAACCGCTGGAAAACGCGCTGGATGTGGCGGGAGCGGAGACCGGGGAGGGAGGGGCGGGACACCGGGAGGATCCCCCACACCCCAACACCTGAGTCCCCCCCACACCTGTACAGCCGGGCTCCCCCACCGCAACACTGGGGAGGGGGGTGTCCCCCTATCCCAGATTCCCAGGTTCCCATTCCCGCATTCCCATTCCCGGGTGCGTTCTCCTCCCGCCTTCCCGCACTTCTGGGTCCTTCCCGCCGGGATTTCCCCCCGCCCACACATGGGGGAAAGTGGGGGGGTTGCGCAAACCCCGAGTCACGTCGCCGCAGACCCGGTTGGGCAATCGAGGAGGGGGACACGGGGCTGGCACCTGCCCGGGCGTTCGGGCTCAGCCCCAGGCAGGATTTGCCCCCCCCGGGACCCCCCTGTGCTGGGGCGAAGGGAGGTGGCCAAGCCGTGACCCTCCGGCCGCTGCTGCCCCGCACTGGGGTGTCCCCAGGGTTGGGGACACGAGCTGAGCCCCTCCCCCTCCGGGGGTCCCTCCGTGGGTGGCCCCTGAGCCCCCCTTCCAGCGCCGGGGGTGACTCAGCGGGCGGTGGCCCCGAAACGGGGCAAAACCCACAAAAATGCGGTCCGACCACTTCCCCCTGCTCTGACGCCAGGGTCGGGGGGGGGGGGGGCTGGGGCCACCAGAGGGGGCTCCGGGGCTACCAAGGTGGGGACAGGACCACCAGGGTGAGGACGGGACCACCAGGGTGAGGACGGGACCACCA